CCAAATTTGAGCCAAGCGCCTTACCTATTCGACCAGCAAGGCACTTAACTACTGGTGCTGGCACGATTTAAATCTAGCACTAAGCCAGAGTGACACTGGTTTGGTGCCGGATTTCTGATCGATTAGGAATGTACCCATTCCTGATTACACACTTAATACACAGGTCTGAATGTGAGGATAGAGATAAAGGTTAATGTATCATTATCATAAAATGTCGCGAATGTTTAGTCAAAGGGTGTTATATCTATTCAGGAATGATTATTATTGAAGATTCAACACAATTATTTGAGTACACGTAAACGTTTACTATCAATGATTTTATGTGTTATTCCCACACAGGAGATGTTAAATTTAGAATTATTGACGAGGAGGTATTTTTATGTTGAAACGTTATTGACGGGCTGATCTTCTTGAACATATTTTTTTATGATAACCGTCATCATTATGGTCGAGGATTGTCAAAAAATTTTAAAAGGTTTTGTTAAGCATGAACATTTGCCCTTGTAAAGGTTCTACAAAATATTTTCTAAAGAATTGGTTCTAAGCTACAATTCTATCAATATCCAATTTCCCAGAAAGTCTGATAAAACATTTTCAAGAGTCAGACAACAGTGTAAAGTCAATTCATCCTATTTCAATATTTTGTGACGGGATGAAAAAGTCCGCAATACCCTTAAATATTAGATGGTAAAGTATATCATATGAATGTAATAACTTTGATGAAGGTCGTCGATTGATTTTGATGACAATTTCCTCTCATTTAGGAAAAGCTGAATTTGCTGTGAAGGAAGAGAAATGTCGACATGCTTCAATCCGCATCAATACTGGCTGTGTGATTTAATGAACCGTTCTCGTAATGGATATGGATTCAATTTGTTTTAACAATTTTTAATGGATGTCATGTGGCTTCAATCAGAGTTTTATTGAGCACGATGTTCTTTTTGGCTGTTCCAGTTGTCTTTTTAAATTTTTACGGCTCTGAAAATAGCTGATTAATCGACATGAAACTTTTTAATGGTACATATCCGTTGGAAATATCTATTACTAAGAACTTTGGTAATTAGCACTTTTCTCTATCGAATTCAATTCAGACGAAATTCATCAAAGTCTAGCTAATTGGAAATAAAAAGCACTCAAACAATCCAAATTAATTCTATTCATTCTTACATTATCATATCAACATTAATTTCCTCCAAATATTATGTCAATTGACACTTTTCGAATTTTATTTACCTACAAATTTCTTAGATAAACTGACAGTCTTCATTTTATTCGTCATGCCTTACTATATGTCATTAATTAATTTTTTTCTTCCTCTTTACTTTCACTTATTTCTTTCGTTCATTTTATTTCATTCAACTCAATCCAACTCAGTTCATCTAATTTTGTTCTCTATCCCGAGTCAATCATGTATTCTTCCTTTGGTGCTGCAAAAAGGAATACAGCTTAAGCCTAAACATGTAAAAGCTTTCATTCTTTGCCACTCGGATCAAATGTCTTTTTGTGTATGTGTCCATATCGAGAACGAAAACTTTTCTTTTTATTTGCCATTCTTGAAATGAGGAAAGTTCCTTTTCCTTCATTCAGTTCCAATTATCCTTTCTTTATCATTAAACAAGCATTTTAAGAATGTGTATGCCATTGTATTCAGCTGTGTGTATTTGTGTTATTAAGAATAAGAATTTTTCTTTTAGATTGTCCATTTCACTAGCCTGTCACAGCAATAAAAGGAAAAGAAAAGAAGAAGGCAGCATTTTTCGAAGGAAATTTCATTATGGATGATGTGAATGACAGAAGAAGTTCCTTTTTCTGCTGATGTTGTACTCAGTTTATCTATCTTTATCATTTAATGAATAGATTTTTCTCCTCTATTCTGCCATGTGATTTCATTTTCCTTACGGGGGATGTCAAACTTATAAAATATCTTTGTCATTATTATTGGTAAAGTGCCATTTAATTTAAGCCTCGTGGTTTTATCATGATTTGAGATGAATAATGCAAAAAGTTTAATTTTTACCATAGAATTTTGTAGCTCGAGATATCAAATTTGAATAAATCCAAACTTCTTATCTGAATTATCATCCCTGCATGATATAAAATGTAATTCCATAAAATGAATAAATAACTAAGAGATAATAGAATTTAATAAATTTTCATAAAAGAATCCAACTTTTATTATTTCAATAGAGAACAATAGCTTCTTGCCTGACATTATCTTGAATACGTGTGCACAATTGAAATTGAATTTTATTCTATACAAAGCTAGAAAATTAATTAATTAATTTAAAACCATCTTTGCATTGTGGCTTTCATACCCATAAATTGATTTCTATACAAAATTTTAATTAAAATGTCTCAATTGATAGCATAGAATCAAATCGATCATCAAGGTATCAACTACCTATTCCTGAGATATACATAGTTGTAAAGTTTTAATCAAAATGACAAGAGAATTGCCAATTTTTTGAATTCCTAATAGCTTTATAAGACACAATAAGTAACAGAATCTTAACTCATGCCACTCAAATAAATATCAACAATTGTGTTCCACAGCCATTCAATATTGACTTAACATATTCTACTAGGAAATGAAATTTTCAGTAACTTAATTCCTTCCGAATTAAAAGCTCTTCCAACAAATCCTTTTAATTTAAATTTATTCAATTTAGTTCTGACATTTTTCTTCCTTTTCCATTAAAAACTTTTAATTTCCATTCAATCACTTCCAGCATTCTTCAATTATTTAAAATCAACAATTACATTCAATTTACAACTTTCAATTCCATTATAATTACTTTTTTTCCCCATTTGTTGTCTCTTAAGTAATTTTCATTCTTTCTCTTGAATTCATCATCTTTGTCATTGTCATCCATAGGCGTAGTCAAGGACCTCTCCCTTAAGGTGGCATATGAAAAAAAATCGAGATTTAAAGCATGTATGAAAGATGTGAAGACAACCCTTTGAGGGTTCGAACCCCTCCTTCGTATGATTCCTAGTTACACCCGCTAAAATCGTCTCTCACATGCATGCATCTGCAAAAATAAGCGAAGAAGCACAAAAAGTGGAAATAATTGTAAAAAGCACACAAAAGAATTCAATCATTCTGTATATGCGAAATTGCATGAGAAGAAAAATCACAGCTTTCGTGTTTTATTGCTGATTACTTTTCTACATCGATTATGTTGCTTAAAAGACTAAGTTACTTAAATATCGTTTGATGATTTCAGCGCATTTTCTTGACTATTATCTTTTTACGATCTAAAAGTCAGTCATTTAAACTGCCAAATAGTTCATTCAATCCTCGCAAATACAAAACTAAAAGAATCAGAAAAGAAAAACTTTTTCCATTGAAACTTTAACTCCCTAAAGTAAACATCACGATGTAACAGCAGCAGTCTCATGATTGTTTGATAATATCATGCAATACTGTTCGAAGTGAATTCGCATTTGGGACATAGGGATGATATCCATGAGTAGATGTAGCAGAAAATATGAAATGAAATAAATCTTTACATCACACTCACTAATCCATTTTATGGCAATTCAAGCTTTACTAATTGGTCGACAATATAAAAATAAATCCGATAAGGTAACACATTTGATTCATTTCTATCTTCTATCTACGATTCATGATGAGCATATAAAGGTTTAAACAGAAGGTTAAAATGGAAACTTTGATTATTTTTTATTAAAATAATTTTGATATGTCCAACAAAAACAGTTTAGGTCAAAAATTTATTTATAACTTTATTTATAGCTTTATGCCCTAAAATATCAATAGTCTAGCATTTGATAAAAGTTATAAAAATATCTGCCCACATAAAGTCACTTCTACAAAATTATAATTTATTCTATATGTTGATTGTAAAATTCTTTTTTAAAAATAAATTTGAATATTTATTATGACGCAAAATGACCAAACTTTTCCATAAATAGAGTTAATACATTTGAATATTTATTTACGACGTCTTTTACTGAATCTTCAGACTACCTCTTATTTTAATAAGTTTTCTTTTGAGTTGCTACAAAATCTCAGATCTACTCTAAATGAAGGGTCTCTTGACTGAATGAACCAAAATTGAGTAATTGTCTTTTTAAATCCATAAACATGCCTCAAAATCAATACAAACTTCATTTTCCTTGCGTAAAACTTCCTAGCCAGAAATTATATGTTGAATTTTGTAAATCTTTACATAAATCATTATTATGGCTGTCTATAAATAGAGACTGTACAAAAATGAGCAGATGAAGGTTTGTGCGAAATGAAAATGGAAAGTCCATCTATAATCCTTATATATGAATGTAGCTATAGGCATAAAAATTTATTCCTCCAAGTATTAAACTTAAATTTTTTTCAGCCATAACATTATGTATATAATAGATATATTTGAAAGGGGATGAATCACGTCACAAGGATAATAATTGAACGATAAGAGAAAAAAAGGAAGAAATAGACGAAAAAAAAAGTCACAACTCTACTAAACATTATTAAAAAACAATTTTCTTGTTCCTTCCCTTATTCATTCAAATGGAAAAATGCGGTCAATATTGAGTGAGATTAGTGAAGGGACGTAGAAGCTGAAAGAGAAAAGTATGTGGCCTAAAACTTAAATGGCTTATGTAACACATAAATATACACTTCCGTCCATTCTTTTCGTCCCCAAAAAAAAAAATCAAAATTATATCAATAAAATAATAAGTAATGGGGACGGAGAAATTTGTGACATAGATTTCAAGCTCTTACATATACATTAGGACGGACCATTATTGCATCAATATCCACTAGAGCATTATATTAAGGCTGATGAAAGAGCTTCCTTGAAATGTTGGCAAACAGTTTAATATGAAGCAATTGAGCATAAATGAAATATTATCTATGATAAAAGACTAGCCTCGATTACATTAAAGTTGATCGAGAAATGCTTTAAGTATCATAGCAGATTTAACTTCATCACTGCGGCAAAAACTTCCAGTAAAAACCAACCTCGAACTAAATACGATTAAAATTTTAGCAAGTTCAAGTTTATTATCTTAGCTGCTTCGTACATTTAGCATTGAAAGATAACAAAAACTTTTAGTGCGTCAATCATATTTTATTGCTTCTCGTGTGACCATAAACGCTCATCAAACATTTCTGAAGTTGATTTTAGTTATTATTTAAGCTTTCCAGTAAGATAAATCAACAGTAGGAATGCTTGAACATCCAACATATGCATTATCTCCACTATTTGCAATAACAAATGAGTTGGGCTGCATTAGCTCAACACCATTTGAATTATCGCAAATAATTCTGGACAAGCTTGACTTTCTCAACTCGGTAAGTTGTTGGCTACTAAATGGATAAGGACTGCTGGAACTTTCGAACCAAAATCGGTCACCAGTACGAGTGCTCTTAAATTGTTTCATAAATATGTAATGATAAGTTGTTCCATGACCAACAGTGCTGTCTCTTGGATATTCTAAATCACCACCAACGCTAAGATCCTAAATTGTTATGTAATTCTGAATAAATTTTCAAGCAATAATATCTAAACCTTGCTCAGGAACTTACGATATCATTAACATTTGTGTAGACCTCCTTCAAATTATTGACATTCTGTGATTAAAAAAAATAAAAAATATTATTCCGTGCTGTATAAATCACTCGAATAGCTTACAGTTGAACTGATAACATCCAATAAATCATCGAAACTGGTTGCACGACTTAGACCAGCAGCCACTCTCATGTCATTGTAAGATCCGATACCATGGTCGCGGTCACGTTGAATATCAAGTGACTTAAGATCATCTCCATATTGTTTTGTTTTGCGAAACAGATATGTTTGAATTTCTGGGTCTAAATTTGCATCTCTTGCTTCACTGGCTTGTGAAGCCATACCACGTGTGAACGATTGAAAGTTGTCATCTTTCTCGACAAATACTGGACGATTCATTACATCTGTTAATCTAGCAGTGTCTTTAACTCCTCGCTGTTCATTCAAAAGACTGAATAAAAAATAATTAGACACTGGATTAAAGCTTAATGTGGAGCTTACTTTAAAGTTCCTTTGATCATTGTATGAAAGTAACGGAATGCAGCACCAGTAAATTCATTAATTACACTTGGATCAGCATTTGAGTCGTAGTCATTGACATAGGAACTTCCTTGATCATAAACGTAAAGACCTGCATTCTTCATGTTGTCTAGTCCAAGAATTTCAGGAAGAAATTCGTGATAAGCAATAAATTGATACTGTGCAATATTAATACGGCGAGCTTCTTCATAAAGCTTATCGTCATCCCATGTTGGATTCATAGATTTGAGGGAATCAGCAATACGATTATGTTCTCGTAGGAATAAAATATGCATGATTGTCAAATGTGGAGTTTGGTTCATTCTTTTATCGCCACCAACATAGCATGTTTCTGTTGGAGTTTCAACATTACAGTCACTTTTATCAGAATTTTCAGGTGGCCATGATGCTCCATTCCTAGTTTCTACAATCATTTTTCCATCTTGATAGGAACGAATTTTTGCAGAATCAACATTATTGTTGCCATAAACAACAGATAAGTCTAAGAATGCTGTGACTCTATTGATCTGCTGAACAAATCCGTCTCCTTTATAATCTGTACAGCCAGCACCAGTATCAAATAAGTTACGACCAAAATTCAAACACCCTCCTCGTGGATGGATGGCATCATCAGACGGAATTGGAATTGGAAAACAATGAGAGTCAGGATTTGAAACAAGAGTACGATTTGGACAGCATCCATTAACATCAGTATTTCCAATACCAAATGCCATATCGTGAGTCAAAAAGTGTGCAAAATTCATAGCAGTAAGTGTTAATTTTGTGTCAGGAACATTTTTATCACCAAAACAGGTCGTCGATATTAATCTTGCACTTGGTAAATCAATTCCAGAAACGGATACTGGTGGTGCAGAAATTCCATCGGAATACCGAGGTGGAATTAATCTAGCTAATTTTGTAGAGGCAGCACCGGCGAAAGGATTATTAAGATTATTGCATCTTCCATTAATTTTTCTGTATTGGTCTGCTGAATTGCATCTTATTGTAGTTGTAACTGACTGACAAAATTCTAATGATGGAAAACCAATAAAATATGCGGTTTCTTTATTTGGTAACTCTTTTATCTTACCTTGTAAATTGCCCTGCATAAAGCAAAAGTCAACACTTGTAACAACAAGCACAGCTAGTATTAATAACGTTCTTTTCATTTTAGCAACTGAAAACTGACTTGAACTAGACTTTTTTCTCGACTTATATACTTTTTTGATAATCTCTTATCATCTTCAAGTGCATGATAAACATTAAGAGTTTATGCGATTATTGGTATAGTCCGGATATGCGACCACGGATAATGATCAGGATTTTCTCACGTACTTTATATTTTCTCACATTGTTAATACTTTCAAGAGCCACATGATGTATCATACTCTAATCATTATTGTGCACTTTAATTGCTGCGACATAATGTGAAAATTATAAGTACCATGTGATAAGAACTGAACTTTATTATTCATCTATTAAACTCAAGTAGCGTAAATTCCCAATTTTTAGAAAACGAAACAAAGTTTCAAAAGAGATTAAGTACTTTTTATCTGCTAAGGAAATGGTTAAGTTTGAGAAGTAAAATTGAAATTTCAGAGAATTTATGCAGAAATTATTCTGAGGCCATAATCAATTGAATATTTTACTGACTGACTGAATCTTTAATTTTAATTGCATATGGGATTAATGTTGGAATATAATTAAGAAGAATCTGGGTCACATATTGATACATCAGTATAAATAAATGAATAGATGCTACACTTTCTAAAATAAATTATTGACTTTATGCCTTTGTCGTGACCTAATGACCATCCCTTGGGTCACATTAAATTTTCTTTATTGACATTTTGTGATCCAATGAAGAAGATTACAATCCATATCTTTGCCTCCCATCGAGGTTTTTGTTTTCATTTTAATCTACCGGGAACTGACATCAATTACTTACTTCAGTATACATGTATGTCAATATTTGAACATATCACATTCAGCACATAAAGTTCCTTATACATTTTTTATTTTTTCTCCTTTTTAAAGATATCAAAATTGTTTTTTCTCCTGTTCTAATTCCTTCCTTCCTTCATTCTGTAAATTTATTTTTGATTGTTAAGAAGAAAATAAGGAAAGGATAGATAAGAGGAGAAAAAGGATTCAAAGAGGGCAAATCAAGAGTCAAGGATGGAGGAATTTTTACCCCAAATCTTATATTTTGGAACATGAAGAAAGTTTCTCATCCTTTTCTTTAGCTTTATGTCAGCATGCCATAGATTTTTCTTTTATCACGTTTGTCTGTAAAGTTTTAAGATTACTGGTAAATGAAGACATAAAAAGCTTTTGCTGGTGAATTAAAAGTTTCAGAATATTTCAAGATAGAGCAGGTTTAAAACAGTAAGAACAAAGGCTGGAATTTCAGTCAAACATTTAACCGGTTTGAACCTGATATCATTCCTAATTCGAATTTTCGACTGACTATTGTAATCATATGTGCAATTTATCATTTAATTTAATTGCATTAAGTTTGATTACGTTTTGCCATTACGAATATTAGAGGCGTAGCTAGTTTTTTAAAAAAAGGGTCAATATTTTTGGATTAGCTTTATTAGCTTAAAATTTGTGATATTTTTTATTGAAAATAAAAGAAATTTTTGCGCTTACTCTCTCCCTCTCCATTTTGCTACACCCCTGTGACTTGATATCATTGATAATTGTACCAGAAATTATCAATTTGATAAGCTTGGATTTACAAAGACATGGGAATATTTTATTTTTATTTTCCTGTAAAAATCAAATGCGAAAATCCTTAGTTGTTGAGGGTACACAACGCATTTTTGGTAGTATTTAAAGTAATGTAATTTCAAGCTATTCTACATAAAAAATGACAAATTTAAAAAAATTCCTGTTCTAGTTGCCGGGTCATTTTTCACACACCTGCAATCAGTGTTGCAAATGTAGATGTCTACACTAGATGAAGAATGTAGATTCTTCAATAGTTTTTGTCTAGCTAAGAAACTTTCTTCATAAAGATCGATTCTACATGAAGATAGAAAATCTAATCTACACAAAGATTATTTCTAGATATAGACTGTCATCATAAAGATTCGATGTAGATGTCTACAATTCTACATTTTTCCAGGTCTACATCAGAGAAGAATGTAGAATTGTAGAAATCTACATCGAATCTTTATGTAGACAGAATCTTTATGTAGAAATAATCTTTGTGTAGATTAGATTTTCTATCTTCATGTAGAATCGATCTTTATGAAGAAAGTTTCTGTCTCAGAATTTATCTGATCCATACAAATGGCCAGAATGCAACACTGCCTGCAATAATGTTAATCTTGACAGCCATATTAATTTATTTATTTAAGACGATAAGCAATTCCAATTATTGAACAATTTAATTTCATTTAATTTTCTCATTTCAATGCATAAACGTGTCCGACAATATTGCAGCAACTCCAACGTTATGTGTAGAATACATTTCGAATTATCGTCAATTGCTTATCAAAAGATAAAACACAAGTAAAATTTCATTGGAAATATTCTTTTTATTTTGCGATAGTTAATTGAAGCAAAACAGAAAGCTAGATTTGTTTTCATTTCTGTTACTGTAATTTTCGGATTTATTAAAATACAATTTGGTGATCAAAGGAAATACAGAAGTGATAAAATTCAAATGTGCACTAAAGGCATTCAAAGAAACTGGGATAATGGATTAATTATTGCGTTTGTATCGTTTGCAGAGAATATAATAAAATTTTCGCTAGCAATTGCTGAACTAGTCTATGGACATTTTAGAAATGCAAGTCCTAATGAAGAAAGAGGTGCTGTATATGTTGAAAAATTTGATTTCAATTTAATGTCTCTTACTCACCCACTTATCTCCTTGATTTTAAATATTGCGTCATAATTTATTTGCAGCCTTTATACACTCCATTCTTTTCGTTGCTATTGGATTTATTGGAATAATCTGCTCAATTCTTCTTTACCAAGGACTCACAAACCACAAGAATTATAGCCGCATAATTGCATGGATATGCTTACAAGGAATTTCCATTTTCCATCAACTGTTCTTCTCGATTGAAATATTTGCTCTATTAAATTACTCAATCAAATTCTGGGAAGTAATTACAATGACTTTTGTGATCTTGATGATTCTTTTCGCAGTAGAAATTGGATTTATTGTCAAAATTATCAAGGTTTATCAAGAAATTGTTGAAGTTGAGTCACCAGTTACCATTCCATCAACATGGAGAGTTCCAACAATTAGTGAGTTGATGGGAGATGAGTATGAGACTGGAAGATCAACACCACCTATGGTTCGGATTGCTGGATTTAATAAAAATTCTGACAGCTTTGCATGAATTTATTCAAACTTTTTTGTATCGATACATTTTGTTTTTATAGTAAAAACTTAACCTTCATACTTAATTACATGCTTGATTATTTTAATTGATTTTAGAGATAAAAATTTTAGGGTTCAATAAAAATTCTGCCTTTACATTTTTTTTGACTTTATAAAACTTACATTATATAATTTAGAATCAACAATTTCATAAAACTAATGAAAATATTTCAGCTGAATTAAAATGAGATTTTGAATTGCTTCCCCACGTTTGTAGCATGAAAAGGTTGAACATATGGATTATTAAGGATTCTATAACTGAACTCAACTTATTGTTTTCATCTATTATAATTGAATTAATTTGGATTATTAATTTAATTTACATGCGCAAATGCTTTGACACACAAAAACTTACTATATTATTTCATAATTAACTGGATTTATATTCTGAAAATTTTTGAATGAATAGTAAGACTGAATTGAGTAATCAACTCACGTTTGAAGCTTGTGGAATTTTGAATGAACAAATTATAAATTCAGATTTATTTAAAAGCGTACACAAAAGTCTATTTTTGTATTAATAAAATAAATTTTAGACATGTTTTTCATCGCATGAAGAATTTTTCTAATGAATTTAAAACTAGTTTCTATTTTATTGTAGCTTCAAAGCATAATAAGTTTGAAATTGAATCCTTACGAAAACTTCTCAAACCACACTCAAAAATGAAATTTTGCTCTAATTTCTGTATCCCCATTCCACCTTAACATGTGATATCTGCTATATATTTTTGTTTACTAAAGTGCTTTTTGTGTGAGGAATTAAGACAAGCACATGTAAATGATGTAAAGAAGAAGAATATATCATTGAGGTTTAAATGTGGATTAAAAAGGAATTATCGAGCTTTAATGCTATTAAACACCTCAAAATTGCTTTTATATTGCTTTGTATATATAGAAAATTGAGAACTTCAGAATGACTGTCTACCAGGAATCTTTTGACTCCAACAACGAGTTCAAGTTCAAGAAAATTGCTTAAAAGTTGTTGAATCAAAGAACGTTTCCTGCGGTTATTTCTTAATTAGTTCCACAATCCCTTTCTCTTGACATTTATCTCAATAAAAGCCGATTTGTATGGACAGGTAATTTGCAATGTGGAGAAGCAAATTAATGGAAAAATAAGAAAAAGCTCGAAGCGAGAAATGAAAGTTTTTTTGTGCTACTAATTCCCGTCTAATTTCGTAAGAGCTTTCTAAATTAAGCATTATAATGCTGTGATTTTCGATATTGGATACATGTGGGCACTGACTTGCTAATTTCTTATTATAATTATAGAGTTCTCAGGAAATTCGAGATTTGTTGCTTCGTCTGACACCTTTAAGAGTAAGAACTTTTTTTTTTATAGATTTTGCTTGGTCTTTCATAAATGATGTCAAAGTTTTGAGGAAAGGAGGTCTGTCACTCTAATTTTTTGGATGAAACTATTGTGACAGAGGAAGGGAGGAGGTCCACAAGTTCAATTCATTGATGCAAGAAAAAGTTGATTCCCATTCTTAAAGAGGTGACTGATATTTGTTGATTAAACAATTTAACATCACTAAAGACATGATTGTAAGTTCTACAGAAAAAAAATGTTGAAGCAATGTTAATGAAAAAAGGATTTATGTTAAGGATTTATTATAGATCCTCTCTACTTTTACAATTTTTTTCTTCTGCTGTATTTTACATCCTAGGCAACAAGATGTTGTTATAAAAAAAAGAAAATTCTCCTTAATTTACATGGCATCTCTTGTAAGTTACTTAATAAAAGTTGTTCTTTCCCATCTCATTCCACCTCCATCATTATCGTTATTAGTGAGAGCTTAACAACTGAATGAACGTATTTATAGTAAC